GTATAATATGGTACTAATAGATATGTGAGGGGCATAGATATAAGTCAATGGGTATAATATATGGTACTATTAGGTATATAAGGTTCATAGACAAGTCTGTGGGTATAATAAGCTACTAACAAGTATATGAAGTCAATAGAAAAGTTAATGCGTATATGGTACTAATAAGGTATATGAGGTTCGAAAATAAGTCTATGGGCATAAAATGGTACTACTAGATATATAAGGTTTATAGGTAAGTCAATGGGTATAATATGGGACTAATACGTATATGTGTTTCATATATAAGCCTATTGGTATAATATAACAATAATAGGTATACGAGGTTCATAGACAAGTCAATGGGTATAAAATGCTACTAGTTAACCTACCACTAGCTTGTAGACGCCCTTATCCTTGCGGTCGAGTTTGCGGATCTTGAGCATGTAGAAGTTGTCGTCCTTCACCATGCGGAACTTCTCGTCACCCATGATCTCCTTGCCGTCCTTGTACCTGTCGTCCATAGTGCCAAGTAGTGATGGTAGACGTACCAGGTAGTGATGGTACATGTACCAGGTAGTGATGGTACATGTACCAGGTAGTGATGGCACATGTACCAGGTAGTGATGGCACATGTACCAGGTAGTTATTGTACATGTACCAGGTAGTTATTGAGTAGTGATGGTACTTTGATCAGGCATTAATTTTTACTTCAATTAGGTAGCTGTAATGTACTAATAGTATATTTATCAATTAGTTGACGTGCATTTCTGAAGGAAATTCAGCTTTTACACATAGCCGGGGGAAACACAAAGAACACCAAAGGACCACGTAGGACATAGGAAGACACCAAGAGACCACAAAGGACGCCACCAGAGTTCCCTATAGGACACGTGGGCTACTCACCACCTGGCGACGGGGGTCGGCGACCCCGACGCCCTGACCTCGAAGGTGTGGTCGTTACTGAGCTTCTTCTCGGTCTCGGGGTCGAGTCCACGACTGATCTGGGGGGGCGAGTCGCAGAGCACGGCAAACTGCTCCGACCTCTGACCGATGTCGTTACTGGCCATCACCTGAGTTGGTAATAAAGGTAATAGTTGGGTTACTGGCCATCACCTGAGTTGGTAATAAGGGTAATAGTTACTGGTACTGTCCATAACCTGCTCCGACCTTTGACCGATGTCGTTACTGGCCATCACCTGGGTTGGTAATAAGGGTAATAGTAGAGTTACTGGCCATCACCTGGGTTGGTGATAAGGGTAATAGTAGAGTTACTGGCCATCACCTGAGTTGGTAATAAGGGTAATAGTTGGGTTACTGGCCATCACCTGGGTGGGTAATAAGGGTAATAGTTATGTTATTGGCCATCAACTCACGTTAGAGGTACAGTGGCCTCTACAGTGACTCACGTTATAGTTACAGTGACTCACGTTATAGTTACAGTGCGATCACCAACATGCTGGTGGTGTCGGTGCTCTTGATGGTGAAGCCCTCGGTCTCCGCCCTGATGGGCTTACCGTTGAACGTCCTGCGGGAAGAGGGGAGGTTGGGGTTAACAGTGGGGTAATAGGGGTGACTGGGGTTAACAGGGAGTGTGTTTTGGGCAAATGATGTAATGAATCCATAATTTGATGCAATGAGCCCCACCATTTGATGTAAAGATCCCCACCATTTGATGTAGTGAGCCCTATCATTTGATGTAATGAGCCCCACCATTTAACTGCAGGCTTAGGGTTGGCCTGGAATTCAACCAGCATCTTGATGTCCTTAGCCCCTTCCTTGGCGCAGGCGTCCTTAAGGGGAGTAAGGAACTCGGGGGGAGCGCGGATCACTAAGGACCCCTCGGTCTCAGCCTCCCCAGACGCGTTCGACAGCTGGGGAGGGAGGGGAAATTGGGGAATGAGTAGTGCCTTTATAACATAGGTATTAATATAGGTATAGGTATAGGCAGATAATATATTATATTATATATTATATATATATAATATAATACCAATGACCCCTCGGTCTCAGCCTCCCCTGACGCGTTCGACAGCTGGGGAGGGAGAGGGAATTGGGGAATGAAAAGTAGCGTTATAACATAGGTATCATAAAGGTATAGGTATAGGTATATAATATATAATATTATATATATATAATATATAATATTATATAATACCAAGGACCCCTCGGTCTCAGCCTCCCCTGACGCGTTCGACAGCTGGGGAGGGA